GCAAGGGTTGCAATTCTAATATCTGACAAAATAGATGTCAAACTAAAACTAATCAGAAGAGATAAAGAGGGTTGCTTCATTCTGACCAAAGGAGCAATTAACCCAGAATATATTACAGTCCTTAACATATATGCACCAAACTCTGGTGCACCCAAATTCATAAGAACAACACTACAGGACTTTTAAGACACAGATTAACCCCAACTCAGTAAAAGTAGGGGACTTAAATACCTCACTCTCCGTTAGATAGGTCAACTGGACAAAGAATAAATAGAGAGATGTCTAAATTAAATGATGCCATACATCAAATGGACCTAACAGACATCTTTCAAATATTCCACCCAAGACCAAAGAATATACTTTCTATTCAGCACTCCATGGAAATTTCTCAGATATTGACCACATAGTGGGACACAAAACAAGCCTCAACAAATACAAAAAAAAATTGAAATAATTCCATGCAGTCTATCAGACCACAATGAAATAAAGCTTAAAAATCAATGCTAGAAGAAGCCCTAGTCACTACATGAACTCGTGTAGATTAAACAATACACTCCTGAATGATGAATGGGTTGAAGGAGAAATTAAAAAAGAAATAAAAGTATTCTTGGGATTAAACAAAATGAACAATACAATGGAACCTCTGGAACTCTTTAAAAGTAGTCCTAAGAGGGAAGTTTATACCTCTTAAGTGCCTACATTAAAAAAAATCAGAAAAAGCACAAATAAGTGGCTTAACATGCAACTTAAGACTCTGGAAAAGGCAAGAACAAATCAAACCCAAATCCAGCAGAAGAGAAGAAATAACAAAACTCAGAGCAGAAATTAATGAAATAGAAACAAAGAAAACAATACAAAGAATCAATCTAAGAGCTGGTTCTTTGAAAGCTAAACAAGATAGACAGACCCTTAGCCCAGTTAAAAGAAAGAGCAAATCCAAATCAACAAAATCAGAGATGAAAGGGGAAATATCACAACAAATACCCCTTTATAAGGGAATACTTTAAAGACCTATGCTCTATTAAATTTGAAAACCTAAAAGAAATGGATGGATATCTAAAATCAAGAGAACCACCAATGTTAAACCAACAGTTTAAACAGACCCATAACATATAAGGAAATCAAAACAGTAATATAAAACTACCTGACTAAAAAAAGCCCCAGCCCAGATGGATTTACAGTTGTTCAAAACGACAGAAACAGAGTGAGAACTTCCAAATTTCTTCTATGAAACCAGCATCACTCTAATACCAAAACCAAGTAGACACAAAACCAAAAAAGAAAACTATAGGCCCATTTCCTTAATGAACATAGATGCAAAAATTTTCAACAAAATATTTGCAAACCGCATACAGATGTACATCCAAAAGTTCATTTGCCTTGATCAAGAAGGCTTTATTCCAGGGATGTAGGGATGGTTCAATATATGCAAGTCAATAAACATCATCAATCATATAAATGGACTCAAAGACAAAAACTACATCATCTCAGTAGATGCAGAAAAGACTTTTGACAAAATTCAGCATGCATTCATGATAAAAGTTCAAAAGGGAATTGGACTGGAGGGAACATTTCCTCAACATCATTAAAGCTGTATACAGCAAACCCACAGCCAACATCATTCTAAATGGAAAAAAAAAACTGGAAGCATTCCCATTAAAATCAGGAACCAGAAAAGGATGTCCATTATCTCCACTCCTTTTCAACATAGTGTTTGAAACTCTTGCTAGAGCAATAAGACAGGATAAGGAAATTAGAAGAGTGCTAATTTGAAAAGAAGAGGTCAAATTATCCCTTTTTGCAGATGATATGATACTATACCTAAGAGATCCCAAAAATACCACCAGAAAACTCCTAGAACTAATCACCACTTTCAGTAAAGTGACAGGTTACCAAATTAGCCTTTCTATATACCAATAACAAGCAATCAGAGAAAGAGAACAGGGAAACCCTCCCATTCACAATAACCTAAGTGAACCAAAGTAATGATTACAGAAATGCCCAACTTAGTGAATGAATGAATTACTTGGATTTCTTACATAAGTATGGTTTAGGAGCATGGACCACTCAAAAGCAACTACATAATTGAAAAATCCACGTAACATGGATGAGGACTCATGAAAGCTGCAACCCTGAGCTGTCTGCATGGTGTGCATACTAGCACACTTGTAGGGGAATCTTCTTTTTTCCTGTGACTGATCAGAGTCTCCTCCCCAACCAGTTTACTCCTTTTATATATAAACTCCAGTAAGTGCCTGGTGAATGTTGTAAGTTTGAGCTTTCCCATAAACATGAAGTTTGCTACTTACATGCTGTTGGCATCAACACTCCTTCATAAAGGAATGTTTCAATTCAGTGGAAGTCAGTAGGGATCAGGGTTATTGCATCTGTAGTTTGGTTGCTGTTTCCATGTGTAGCTTTGAAGTCATTGTGATACTGGTGTGTTCCTTTAATGGGTATTCTTTTAGATGGGGCATCAGTCTTTCTTCTACAGGTCTTTAGAATCCTGTTTTTAAAAGAGCTTTGTGAGTTGGAATGTAGCATGACCCAGAATCATTTGTTTGGGAAATATATTAGGATTCCTGTAATCACCTTCGATCTACATCTGTGTTTCACCTGTGCTGTAAAATTCTTTCATTGAATATGTTGTTGTCTTCTATTTTTTTAACCCTTTTGAGGAAAATTTTTGGGGTTTTTTGTTTTATTTTCATGTAAAATGTTCTGTTGCTCTTTAAAAGGGTTCAGGCATTGGTTTTAAATCAGGCTGCACACCTTTCAGTCTGACATCTCTCTCACCATGTCAAAACTGGCTTCAGCTAGCTATATTACATTAAATCCAAAAGAAAAATTGTTTTAATTTTGAAAAAAAAATGTCCAGTTCTGAGAATAATTAATATTAGTCTTATTTAAGACAAAATGAGAGCTGTTTCATGTTGGTTTATACGTTCTCCTCGCACAACCAGGAAGTGTGATTCTCCTAACTCATGCAGGTGCTGATACTGATGATCAAAGCAGCTAAACACCCTCACACATGAGCACATGCATGCACCAAAATTCAGAGCCTGTCAAATGGAAAAGGTTTTTGTTGGTTCTAATATAATCAGTCTGTACTTAAGAGGGTAAAATGCTTTCATCTTGTGTCTACATTAATGGGATCTACTGTCATGTTTTTCTGTTTTTGTTTTTTTTTAATGTGTATGAATGCATTGCCTGCATGTATGTGAGTGCATCTGTGTCGTGCAATGCCACAGAAGTCAGAAGAGGGCTTTGATTCCCCTGGAACTAGAGTTAAGGACAGTTCATCGCTGCCATGTGGGTGCTTGGAATTGAACCCGGGTCCTCCACAAGAGCAGTCAGTGCTCTTCACCGCGGAGCCATCTCTCCAGCCCCCTACTGTCATGTTCTAAAAAAGAAAATTGGATAGTACCATCATTTTTTACTTTAAAATTCTAGAAACAATGTCAAAAGGCATCATTTCTTATTTTCTGGAATGAGGGAGGAAAGACTCTGCAGATTTGTCTTTAGTTAAAAATCAAAACAACTCCATGAATAGGAAATAAGCGATTCACATAGCCAAAGTCTGAGGTATCATCAGAGTGAGACAGTGTCCCAGTCCATTCCTACTGGCTTAGCTATTACTAACAAATCAGGAAGCTTATGACTCTGCATAGCAAATTCCAGTGGGACAAGATGATGCCAGGCCTGTGCTCAAGGCCTTGTTATTAAGTATATAATATTTAGGTGAAGAGAACCAGAGCCCCTGGTGATGCCCCTCCACCTGCTTTGTCAATGCAGCCTGGTCATAACTGCCTTCCACAGAAAGGAGATAAACAGCTTTTCTAGATCAACACACTGAGCCCAGCAGAGAATTTACAAAATGGAATAAGTGGGCTGGAGAGATGACTCAGAGGTTACAAACACTGACCATTCTTGCAAAAGACCTGGGTTCAAATCCTAGCATCCACATGGCAGCTAACAACTGTCCGTAACTCCAGTTCCAGGAGATCTGACAGCCTCTTTTGTCCTCCGTGGGCATTACATGGCATGGGTGCACTTACCTACATGCAGGCAATACATGCATACACATAAAATAAAAATAATAAATATATTTTTTTAATGTGATAGGCAACATAGTCCCTTTTGTTACTCATTGGGTTGCTTGATGTCTCCCTTCTACCCTGTTATACCCTGTGGACACAGAAAATTTTTGCTTTTTTAACTGATGGTTTCTGAGTACTAAAAGGTATATTCTTCCTTAATCCACCTGGATTCATTTAATACAGCCAATTTCTAGGCTCAGAATATATTTTCTCAACCCTATTTAATACTTATGTTTCATCTTTTTATTTTATTTTATTTTAGTCTTTTTTGTGACAGGATTTGGCCTGGAATGAGCTATGTAGACCAGACTGGCCTTGAATTGACAAGAGATCTATCTGCCTGCCTCTGCCTCCAGAGTGCTGCAATTAAAGTGTGCCACCACACCTGGGTTTATCTTTTCCTTTAAATTAATTAAGGACTTCTATAAAATTTATCTGAGTCTTTATGAAAATTTTAATGTGTGTGAGTGTTATGCCTGCATGTATGTAAGTACACCTATGCCATGCAATGCTCGCAGAAGCCAGAAGAGGGTATTCAATCCCTGGAAATGGTGTTATGGATAGTTATTAGCCGCCATAAGGGAGCTGGGAATCTACCCCGGGTGTTCGCAAGAGCAGCAAATTCTCTGAACTACTGAGCTATCTCTCCAGCCCAGTCTGGGACTTTTTTATGATCAATCACTCTTTCAAGTTTCCTAAGTAGCCTGTGTTTATGTATCATGAAGTCTTATGCAACTCAAAGGTAATGTTCTAATGCGTGAAGCATGTGTCTTGTCAACCTTCCCTAATCAGATTTCATGATTCAAACTAAATCCCAGTTCCTGATTTAGAGGTGTTATCTTTCACTATGGACTTGATTAAGCACTCTTGTGTAATTTGTATTTTATTTCTAACTTCCAGGCTACTGCATGAACAAACCTGAGTTGACATTCAAGTTGGAACATGAATTTGGCCCTTGGACTGTGGCAGAAGTCTCCAAGCAGAGTCTCCCAGGTCAGTGAATCCATCCTGAGCAAGGAAGGTCAGCAAGAAGCCAAGTCATGTTGATGTCTTCCCACCAATATTTATTCAACCCCAGTTCATGTCAGAGCTGATATGGTGAATTAGACACATGATTTTGCAGTTCCCAGAGGTTTAGCCATGTCACCTCATCTCCTTGAGGTTTTTTGCTGAATTAACTTTTATTTGCCAAAAATTCAAACTCTGGGTAGATCTGAGACATTTTCTTTTTGGCTTTTTCAGGTAGGGTCTTTTGTAACCCTGCTGGTCTCATACTTGCCTTAGAGTTGAGGGTGGCCCTGAACTCATAAATATCCTTCCTAGCCATCCATCCTACTTTCGGTGACTAAAGGCATGTTCCTCTACACCCAGTGTTTACTCATTTACAGTGATTTCATCTGGGACAGTAGCTTTAGGAAACAAATTGATTTTGTTTATCAACCTACCATACTGTGCAGCATCCCTAAACCTTACCCATAAAAACAGGGAATAATAAAAATCCCAGGAAGTTGTGGACATAACTGGCAGGGATTCTGTTTTCAAATGGCTACTAGACAGAATGGAAACCCACAGGGTGTGGAATCAGAAAATTCAGAGCTTGGGAGCCTGAAGTATAGAGGCCTTATTTTTTGCACCCTCTGGAATGAAGAATGAGCCCTCTTGCTTGTGAATCAGTGCAGAATGGGAAGACCAAGTCCTGCGTGAGCAGATTATTTTTTCTCCAGAACTTTCTTCTATTTCTGTGTAGTTAGCTGCACAATGGACTGACTGCACTGAGTTCCATTCCTACTGGTCTCTCGATTTTCACAGACTCGTCATTATCCCTGTGTGTTTTACTATGTTAGATTACTAAAGACAGCAAAACCCACAGGTAAAGTCACATTGGTCTGCCACAGTCTGGCACTTAGGACTCCCACCTCCTTTTCACAGTTTTCAGAATTAGAGGACAGCTAAAATGTTTTTTCAAGCATTTTATGTCTGTGTTTTTATTCCTTTTTGTAAAAAAAAAATTATATTTATTTTATATATAGGAGTGTATCGCATATGTGTGGGTGTGTGTGTGTGTGTGTGTGTGTGTGTGTGTGTGTGTGCAGAAATGATATGTTAGATGATATCCTTTGAGGCTATTTGTGGAAGCCGGTGGACACCTTTATGGAGTTGATTATCTTCTGCCTTTTTGTGGATTGTGAAAATCGTACTTAGATCACCAAGCTTGTGCTTTTCCCACCAATTCTCTTGTCTCCTCCTCTCTTGTTGCTTTCTTTTAATTAATTTATGGAGCATTTCATGATGAAACACACATGTATGTGAACCCTTTCTCTATCCTTTTAGAAGAGAGAATATTAAGAATGCCATGACCTTAAATATAACTAACTGAAGAAAATTTTTCAGTTTTGCATGTGAAAAATATGTTGAGTGACATTCTCTATTTATTTAATAAATTAATTATAAATATAGATTTTTATAATTTATAAATTCCACAAGGGGGAAATAGGAAGAAATGATGATGTAAAAACTTATCAGCTGAGCCAGGCATGGTGGTGCAGGCCTTTAATCCCAGCACTTGGGAGGCAGAGGCAGGTGGATCTTTGTGAGTTCAAGGCCAGCCTGATCTACATAGTGAGTTCCAGAACAGCTGGAGCTACAGGGAGACCCTGTCTCAAAAAGACCAAAAAAAAAAAAAAAGACAAAAAAACCACAAACAACTTATCAGCTGTGAGTTGGGCATGGTGGCACAGGCCTTTAATCCTAGCACTCAGGAGGCTGTGAGTTCAAGGACAGCCTGGTTTACATAGCAAGTTCAGGCCAGCTGGGTCTACCGGGAGACCCTGTCTCAAAAAGAAAAGAAACAGCTGAGATAATTCATCTCCACATGTTTCAGCAGCAGAAGATAAGGCAATGAAGGGGCATGATTTAGCTCTGCTTTAAATACTGGTGCCATCTGTTATATTTAGTCATGAAACACTAAAATGTATGCACTTATCATAAGGCAACATCATTTTCCAATTTATGATAAATAGTAAACACACTTTTATATTTGTATTCCTAAAAGAAGATTTAAGGGTGATTCATGGGATATTACAAATTGATATTTGTAATATCAATATAGGTGTTCACAAATTTACCACCAAAATGCAAGCTACCTTGAAAAATGACAGGAGACATTTGTGGCAAGTTGGAATGACCAAGGGCAAAATATCAAGTAAAGAGATTGTTGATGTTACATCAAGAGTGAGCTCTCAGTATACTTCAAGTCCAAGCTCAAAGAATAGAATCTTCTAGAATGGTTCCCCTAGACCTTTACTGAAGGCTGGAGAGATAAAATGGGTTAGCCAGGAAAGTGTTTGGCTTACAGCAGTGAAAACATGAGTTTGGATCCAACACTTTTGTGTTTAGTGCTAACCATTTTAGCATGCACTTTTACTCCACCAATGTGGGAGATGGAGATAACAGGATCTCTGATGAGGCATTCTATCCTAAGGGACAAGACTCAGGTTCAGTGAGACATGGAGACTTATGAAGAACATTGTACCTCAGCAATAACAGGAAGTATTTGTCAGGAAAAGCCCCATAGCTCTGACACAAACAGCCAGTTATTGTATCTCCTGACAGATCTGATAGAATAATAGATAATCCAACAGAGAGAATCCTGTAAAGGTACATGATATGTGAACACATCATATCTGGAGTTACACCACAGCAGAGATCATTTGTTTGATATATGTAAGAAAGGTTCCAGTAATAAATTGGCTTTCACTCAATGTCAAAGGCTTCATAGAGTGGAGATCCTCTATGAGAGTAAAGAATGCAGATACATGTCCTTCAAGTCAGAAATCACTGCATGTCAGAGACATTTTACAGTTGTGAAGTCCTATTAATGTAAACTGTGGGAATACATTCTTCCTCAAGAGTCATCTCATTGTACATCGAAGAACTCTTACAGGAGAGAAGCCCTATGAATGTAAACAGGGTGGAAAAGCATACAAGTCTCACCTCATCATGTATCAAGGAATTTCTATAGGTAATAAGCTCTTTGAATGTGATCAGTGTGGAAGAATCTTCACCATGAAGTCTTACCTCAGCATGCATCAAAGAACACATAAACGTGAGAAGCCCTATGAATGTAAACAGTGTGGAAAAGCCTTCTGCCACAAGTCTTCTCTCTGGAAGCATCAAAGAACTCATACAGGTGTGAAGCCCTATGAATGTGAGCTGTGTGGAAAAACTTTCTCCTGCAAAGCTAACCTCACTGTCCATGAAAGAACTCATACAGGTGAGAAGCCCTATGAATGTGAGCAGTGTGGAAAGGCTTTTTCCTACAAGTCTTACCTTGGTAGGCATCAAAGAACTCATACAGGTGAGAAGCCCTATGCATGTAAACAGTGTGGAAGAACGTTCTGCAAAAAGTCTTCTCTCTGGAAGCATCAAAAAACTCATACAGGTATGAAGCTGTTTGAATGTGAACTGTGTGGAAAAGCTTTCTCCAGGAAGTCTAATCTCACCCTGCATCAAAGAATTCATACAGATGAGAAGCCATGTGAATGTAAACAGTGTGGAAAAGCCTTCTGCAAAAAGTCTTATCTCAGGAAGCATCAAAGAATTCATACAGGTGTGAAATCCTATGAATGTGAGCTGTGTGGAAAAACTTTCTCTTGGAAGTTAAGCCTCACTGTTCATCAAAGAACTCATACAGGGGAGAAGCCCTATGAATGTCAACAGTGTGGAAAGGCTTTTTCCTGCAAGTCTCACTTCACTGTGCATCAACGAACTCATACAGGTGAGAAGCCATATGAATGTCAAAAGTGTGGAAAAGCCTTCTCCACAAAGTTTTGCCTCACTGAGCATCAAAGAACTCATACAGGGGAGAAGCCCTATGAATGAACAATGTGGAAAAGCCTTCTCCCATAGGTCTACTCACAGAATTCATCAAAGAATTCATACAGGTGAGATTCCCTATAAATGTAAACATGTGGAAATGCCTTTTCCAGCAATTATAAACTCACTGTGTGCCAAAGAGCTCAAACAGTGCAGAAGCTATACGAATGTGAACAGTATGGAATAGCCTTTTGTCAAATTTCTGCTCTGATGCTGCATCACAGAACTCATGCAGGAGAAGAGCCTTATCAATGTAGAGAATGTGGCAAACCTCCTTTCAGGTCATTGCTCACTGTACATAAGAGAATTTATACTGATGGGAAGTCCACATGGAGGAAAGCCTTCAATATCAGGTATGAGTTCAGTGTGCATCTAAAAATTCACACAGTTGAGAAGCCATATGAAAACATATGGAAAAGTCTCCTACACAATGTCTCTTCTGGTTGCATCACAGAAATCATACATATGAGTGCTTTTTCTTTTTTTTTTTTTCTTTTTTTTTTGATATTGGGCTTTTTTTAAAATAACTGTAGCCCCAGCTGTCCTGGAACTCACTATATAGACCAGGCTGGCCTCAAACTCACAGAGATCTGCCTGCCTCTGACTCCCAAGTGCT